GTAGCAAAAACAATCGCCTTTAAATACGCCCGTATTTGCATACTGTCAGTAACTCTTTTTATAGCGACAAATGATTACGTGACAGGATAATAATAAACTGAAGTAACTGTTGCACACATGATATTTTCGACGGCTTTGCTGTTGCGCGATGGTCCGATCATGAGCCGATCATGAGAATGGAAAGTTTACACTTTTAGATATTGCGCCGACGAAAATCTCGAAGGACAATCGTTTATTCGCTCGCTCGACGGTCATTGACGTCCGAAACGACGCCGTTGACGTCGTTCGCTGGCGTGCTTCCGTTTTTTGCTCGTTTATGCCGACAATAATTGGCGAATTACAACTGTTGCACAATAAGGAAATACCAATGAGCGAAGGAGCCGAACTGGTTGACGTCTACTGATTGACGTTTAGCGCTCGCTTTTGCGAAATGTCCTTCTCCCGCGACTTTTTCCAGGCGCCCGTGGCGCGCCGATCATGAGCCTTTTTTTCTCTCCCGTTTTTTTTCCCTACATTATCGAAGGCAACCAGGTACAATGGTTGTCCTTTAAAACACGTACGATTATTCGAAAGTGTGTAAAATTGTTGTGCAAACTGTACCAAAGGTTTTGCACCTTTCCCTTGCAATCCAATCCCACCTTAGACGAATTCGCCATAGAATTTGAAATAAAATTTTACTCATAACTTTATGTTATTATATTTATACTTTTATATGCAATAGAGAGAAAATATTTGAAAAATTAGAATACACACATGTGCAAAACTATAAATCAGTGATATATTACGATTCTTCAAATCTTTTCTATAACATAAAATTATAAATAAATTTCTACATAGAGTTATAGACTTTTTAGAATTGGCTCTTTGTCAAATACATAATTTTTTATACTAAATAGTAAAAAAAAAGATTTTATTATAATTGATTAAAATATATTTCTATTTAATAACATTTTATATTTTATAGTTTAATTTGATTTATATGTCGAACTGGACTTGAACTAAGCATGACTCGACTTTCGGTCTGCAAGGATTAATTTTCTTTATTCCGAGAATGAAAAGATTATATCTCTCATATCTGCATTGAATATTAGATATCATAATAGTGCTATATTTTCTGCTATCTCTTGATACCGCACCTATAATGATGCATTATAATACCTCTCTTATGCTATGCATTTATTAAATTCTTTTGCGATATATACATATATTCTAAACATTATTGCACATTAATTTGTTTTTTTTATCTTGGCTGTCCTTGGCCGATATGTTGCGTATTAATAAGTTCTTCTGGTAACAATATTATTCGACAATAACAATTACTTATTTTGCTGTTACAATTTATCGGCTTAATAGAGCGAATCTGGAAGTCGCATCTTCCTGATAACAATTTTGCAGGATTGTTTCCGCTGCAGCGCTACTGAAAACATTGATAAGAATGATTTGAATATACATGTTTACCGTAAACAAGGCATATATTGCATTACTTCAAATGCACGATTCTTATACGTCAATTTGCATTGTAACGCCGTTGCAATTGCGAGTGTGTAACGCTGAAAAAAAAAACAACAAAAAGATCGTCTTGATGAACGGCCGATTAATTTGCCGAGACTTAACTTGAATTTCTGCCTGGGATACCGGTTTTATCTCGATCCGGACGACTTGTGTAATGAATATACGGCTAATCAATGTGCAGCGAGCCGCACGTAACGAGTTTATCCGCGATAATTACGCGATTACTTACGCATCGTAGAAATTCAAGATCGATCGCATACCGGTAGCGCAGCGCGCGCGTTTGCATAATGCACCTTCGACTCCTCTACTTTCTCGTTCGAGCCGTCGCACGGCTCGCATTATGCCCGTGGAAAAGCATTCACCGCCGTCGAGTATAATGTCAAGAACGATTCGCACATGCTCTCTGCTGTTCAAAATATTTGTACAAAGTCATTGACGGTCGAGGCACGTCTCGTCGCGGAACTTCCTAAAACGGCTTTTTGATTTTTTCTCTCTCTCCTTCTTTTTTTTTTTTTAATGACTCGATACTTAGAAAATGTTTGCGTAACTATCGTGGCATCTGTCCGTTCCACTGATTTCCGTCTGTTTTTTCCATATTTTTTCCGCCGGCATGTATATTCGCGCAAAGGACGAATCGCGCGGGCTCTGAATTGTCGAGGTTTGGAAATCTTGCGCTAAAATCGCTCTTATTGTTTGCAGTCGCGCAGTGATAATTGCAATAATCCAAGGTGCAACAATATTGTTTCATAAGCCCAAGGTGCGATTATGTTCAAACAGAAATAAATCTGTTGTTTTCTAACAGACTTGATTAGATTTGAATTGATAGCTATTATAAAATAATTTCTTAAAATAGCGAGACTCAATTAAAATGCAATTCTTATTACGTGAACGTACGTCGAGTTCGAGTAATTAATTTGATGTAGAAAAAATTGACGTTTTACGTGATAATATAAATATTGTATATATAAGTAATATGCGATAACTCAAGATATTTAAAAAATCTTACAAATGTATGTATGAAAGTGATAAGTTAAATTATGTATCTGAAATATCTAAAATCATAATAATTGAGGTACTGTCAGGAAAATAAGTACTTAAAAACTTTAGTTTTCTTATCCGCATGATGATAGATTATGCCAAGAATTCGATAAATTCGATAAATACAAGTTTTATTGATTAGAAAAAACAAATATTAAAAGATTAGAAGCACTTGAGTTCACAAAGTAATTTTCCTTTCAAGAGCTAATGATTAATTGCAAAATAGACAGATAAAATATATTATTATTTGACAATTCTTTATGCGATAATACGAATTTTTAATATGCAAAATATAAAACTTATATTTCATTTGTTTTTTATTGCTAGAAAATGGTGAACAATTAATATGATTTATTTCGAACATTTGCATGTGTGCAGTAAAATTAGAAGATAATTCTAAAATTAATTAAATTATTTGATATGTAAAAATAAAATATTAAATTAAGATGTGAATTTTATCTGAGAGATTTGCAGAATTTTTAATCGGTCAACATTTTGTCTGTTAAAAAAATATTAACAAATATGATGAAAACTCTCTATGTTTCGAATCTTTTAATCTTTTTCTTTCATTGTTTTATCTATGTTGAGAAATTATTAAACATTTATCAGATTCATAGAATTGTTGTCTTTCAAGTATATTTTATGTTATCGCGACATATTATCATGCAATCTTTTGTATCAATGTAAGCCTCATTATCGAAGATTTATTATCATTAAGTAACACTATTTATGCCACATTTCCATCAGTTTAATCCCTCAATAGAAAGCTTTTAATTTATAGCAATCAAACTTATTCATCAACTTAGTTTATTGATAATATAAATCTGATAACGTGCAGATCAAATTTGATTGATATACGCAGACATATATTTAAGTGTGATTGCGGCAACTTCATAACGTAATACAAAAAAAATGCTTTGTCCGGTATTGCGAAACTTAGTTTAGTTTAGCACATTTTAAGCAATTAGCATATGCAGTAGAGCGTGCGCTTATTATAGGTTTCTTCAGAAAACCTGTAATATTCCATTGATTTTTTTTTTCTGCGCTTAATCTCATCACTTGTTTGACGTCGGAAACTTATTAACGGTATAATCTGTTTCTGTAAACTAAAACGCGACAGTTATTCTTAGACAATGAAAGTTAACAATTATATTAAAATAATTATCATCAGCTTGCTGCGTCAGGCTGATAATTGTCGACGCAAAGTGTTAATAAAATTATGCATTTGAGTACAAGCAGAATAATAAATTTAAATACTAATCGTAATATTTGAGTATTAATTTTGTTATTTTTAGGATATATAAAAATTCTATTAATTTTAACATTCACATGATTGATGCATTTTGTTGATTTTTTGCATATTATTTTGTTACATATAGATATATAATTATAAATACTGATTTTTTGAATTTATAACGCATTCTAAAAATAAAGTAATTATATTTTATGTTTAATAAAAATTAGTTAATAATTTACAAATTTATCATATTAACAATGATAATAATAAGCTTTTATTTGAGATATGTAATAATATAAAATGTTCAACAGCACAAATTCAATAAGGTAGATTTATCGTCCGAGATGCCTAAAAAAATTCCATTTTAGTTTCGTAATTGGACTATTTGCTAGTACAACACAGGTGTTTTGGTGACAGTGGAAATAATAATAAGCGCAAATACGCAAGTCGGTTTATGCCAGATTTCTTCGCATAATGCGAACGATATGAAATCCTGTTCTTATGGTATCGCAAATAAACAGATCTAACTGAAGTGTTGATAAAGAAATTTGCATACCGTTACGGAAAAATAGGCCGAAGCGTGAACACTCATCTGTCTATTCACTGATGTTTATGATTTACACAACTAAACTCATTTATAATTCATTATTAATTGAGTGTGAGACATATATATGTTTGCGTATTGAGTTTGCATTGATGTGACAACTGTGCGATAAATATGTGGTATGCAGCGAGAAAAGAATATGCAATGTTTATAACCACATTAAAATGATTTACTGATGCCGCTAATTGGCATGTGTCATAAATGCTTTAATCTTTTTACGGGAAACGATAAAACAAAGAGGCAGACTTCGACAAATTGATAATTCCATGTTTATCGAGGGGCTTAATATCTCTTTCAGAAGCCATTAATAAAGTAAATGTGTTGTAAGATAATTATACTTTCTAACTGAATGCATCATTAACATAATATTAATGTCATTAATTTTAAACAATATTATTTTTATCAGAGTGGAAGAATCTTGCTATTTGTGGGAAATTGTTCAATTGTTTATGAAAAAAGGGAGAGATGCATTTGAAATTTAAAACGTATATTAATATACACTGTTATATTCACACAATTATGCGAAAGAAATAAATAGACATAAGAATACTACTGTACAAAATTTCGAGAATTAAAGAGACGAGATTCTATCTCAAAAGAAGATATAAGTATTATCAGATAGAATGTCAGAGTGCCGACGTGATTGAATATAGTGGAAAATTTTCCTTGATATTGCGACATATATCGATACTAGATGTTTCAATAATTCTGTTTGAATAATATCGATACTATATAAAGGAATTTTCCACTATGATCACCGCCATTATAAATGCATGCATTTATAATGAATCTCATTTTGTAGGCGTAATCTTTTCGCTTTGAAGGACGTATTAAACAGTCGTATCCGTACATTATGCAATTTACACGTTTGCACAGTACACGGCGTATGAAAATTTCTCATATTCATCACGTTTACGACTTAACTGCACGTAAAGAAGCTGTATCAGTCTCGAGGAATTATGTAAATGCCGGCCGGCAATTTATGATTTAAGATTGCGAGAAGATTGGTCTTCCCAATTGCACTTCTTTACTTATTCCAAAATTATCTTGAAATCTTCAATGCTAAATGAATTTTTGATAATTTTGCGGTTCACGAGTCTCACTTACGGAAATCACGAAAACGATAAAATAAATACTTCCAAAGCGTAAAAATAGCCAGTCGCCGAAGAAGATTCTATTCATCTCAATAGAAATAGATAAATATTATACTAATGTTACCGATTGATCAAATCGATCGAATTATATCGAGAAAGCCAGACGGAAAAAGCCGGACGCGAAACTTCCCTATTAAATAAGTGTGATGTATGTATAACCATTTATATATCGCAGCAGCTGCAGACGCGGAATATTACAGCATAATTCGAAAAGATATGCCACTCATACATTTATTTCCAAGCAATTAATGATTGACTGATGTTGCAATTGATGTTTATTACTCATCAAAGGAATCTCTCAAATTTTATACTTATTTTTACAGTTTGCAAATTCGCGAATTATTTTAAGTTCCATGCGCATGTACGTTGATTATAATAATTTTTTAGAAAATATATAAAAGTGCGATCTGTTTTTTGAATTAATCTGTACATGTGTGAATACGTAAACTCACCAAACCATGTCTTCCAATCGTTAATATTATCTAGAATTGTCATATCTATAGTTATACGTAGCGCATTACATATCGGCTAGTAAAATCAAGATCAATAATCGTCAGCAAGCAGTAAAGTCCACTTTTATGAATAGTGAAGTTCGAACGTGATGCGAGATACGATTTTGACATGCGATAAAAAGCAGTGTTTAAAGATGAAAGATATCTGTTTAAAGAACGAGATTAATGTCATTTTTTTAAATTCAAGATTGTATTTGTAGCGTTCATAAAAAAATTTATGGAGTACCCAACCTGCTGTTTCATATTTTACACCGGCGAAAATTGTATAACTGTGAAAAACTGCAATTTTGATTTATAAAAACATTCATGATTTGCGGAACAGGTATATCTGCTACAAATTATTTACATCCGCGAAATATCAGGCCAATCCAGAAGTTTGTGTTCGCATTTTTTGGAATATTAAAAATTACAAACTCCACAAAATATACTTTTAGTTAATCGATTATACATTTTTACCGTTATTGCTATATATATTAATCTTGTTAAATGTTCTTTCAGGATGTTCTGCAGGGTCTGAAAAAGTCTTCCTCATCCAAAGAACATAAAAATGGGTGAGTATCTAATACAATTTAATTTTTTTATAAATATCACAAAAATGTATAAAAAAGGTTTCTTTTTATCTATTTATTTATGATATTAATGTTTATTTATTTGTTTATTCACTATCACAAATTAGTCATACGCTTCTCAAAGTATTACATTGTCCGATAAAATTTGACTTTTTTTTGTCTTTGGCTTGTGGAGTGTCATTTCTCGAAGATTTTTGGTCGCTGAATTTTAATACGCGCGCAGAAAATTCTATTACGTCACATTTCCGAGGAAAATGTGGTAACATGGGTCAAAAATGTTGATTTTGATCATATTTAGAACGGCATTGCGTTTAAAAGAATTTAATTTTTTCAATTTTGTCTACACTATCTTAAAGTGCTATTTTTTACCTTCAAAATAAATTTTTTTTTGTTTTTGTACAATTTTTTACGACCAAGTTACGTAAATTTGAAGTTAGGCATAACATGTATAGCTAGTAAGTCATATCTTTTGTTAGTTCGCGCACACTTTTATTTTTGTGGTTACGTGATTTGTGTTTCTTGGACTTGATATTCCGAGGTTAACATGACAGTCGCTAAAAGATCATTTAGCCACAATATGTGTTTCCGGAGTGCACCACGTGGAGACGATCTTTATTACACTCCTTTTTTTATATTCTTTTTTAATTTTTTTCTTTTGTTCTTTTGTTCTTTTTTATTTTTGTTTTATTTTTGTCTACGTTTATTTAATTTGTAGCAATCTTCCCCGACCTCAGGTAAGCGCCAGACAGTGGTAATTTCAAACTCACATAACTTGATCTTAAAAAATCGTACAGAAACAAAAAAAAATTCATCTTGAAGGTAAAGAATAGCATTTTAAGATAATGTAGACAAAATTGAAAAAATAAAATTTCCTTAACCGCAATACCATTCTAATACGGCCAAAATCGTCATTTTTGGCCTATATTATCCCATTTTTTTCGGAAATGTGGCGTGATAGGCAAATTCTGAGGACAGCATCGTTTTCAGAAATCAAAAAATACTCTGGAAATGATACTTTGCAAGCCAAAGACAAAATCAGTGTCGGACAGTGTTAGTTATTGATAGATATGTGATGTACTTAAAACAAAAGATGCATTTTTATAGTTATAAATCAAGTGAGAAACATGACGGCGTTTACGTGCTGGAACTCGAGGAAAAAAAGAAAAGTACAGATGAAAAAGATGAGAATTACGATCCGTACAGTTACAGAGTGGTGGAGCATCCGACTACGTAAGTCTTACCGAATACGATTCGTGCCAATTTGTTTTATGCAGTTGAGAAACAATATGCGAATATAAGGAAAATTTATCACGTCTATATCACGTCTATTTATCACATAAATATAATTTAATTATACAATTAATTAATTATATCAATTAATCAATTAATTATACAATAATTTTATTTTTATTAATTTTTAAAATTTTAATAGTTCCGTTTAATTTTAATAGTTTAATTATAATAAACAATTTATACTTAATCGGTG